TCAGTTAGAACCGGACATGGAACAACAGACTGGTTCCAAATAGGGAAAGGAGTATGTCAAGGCTGTATATTGTCACTCTGCTTCTGTAATTTATATGAAGAGTACATCATAAGAAATGCTGGGCTGAATGAAGCACAAGCTGAATCAAGACTACAGGGAGAAATATCAATAACCTCAGATATGCAGATAACACCACCCTTATGGCAGAAAGCAAAGAACTAAAGAGACTCTTGGTGAAAGTGAAAGAGGAGAGTGAAAAAGTTGGCTTAAAGCTCAACATTCAGAAAACTAAGATCAAGGCATCTGGTCCCATCACTTCAAGGCATATAGATGGAGAAACAGTTGAAACAGTGGCAAATTTTATTTTGGGGGGCTCCAAAATCACTGCAGATGGTGACTGCAGCCATGAAATTAAAAAATGCTTGCTCTTTGGAAGAAAAGCTATGACCAACCTAGACAACATATTAAAAAGCAGAGACATTATTTTGCCAACAAAGACATTACTTTGTCTAGTCAAGACTATGGTTTTTCCAGTAGTCATGTATGGATGTGAGAGTTGGACTATAAAGAAAGCTGAGCGCCAAAGAGTTGATGCTTTTGAACTGTGGAGTTGGAGAAGACTCTTGAGAGTCCCTTGAACTGCAAGGAGATCCAACCAGTCCATCCTAAAAGAAATCAGTCCTGAATATTCATTGGAAGGACTAATGTTGAAGCTGAAGTTCCAATATTTTGGCCACCTGATGTGAAGAACTGACTCACTGGGAAAGACCCTGATGCTGGGAAAGATTGAAGGTGGGAGAAGAAAGGCACGACAGAGGATGAGATGGTTGGATGGCATCACTGACTCAATGGACATGAGCTCTGGGAGTGATGGACAGGGAGGCCTGGTGTGCTGCAGTCCATGGGGTCGCAAAGAGTTGGACACGACTAAGCGATTGAACTGAACTGAACTGGGGTGGTTCAGACAGTAAAGCATCTGCCTGTAGTGCAAGAGATTGGATTGGATCAATGGGGTTCAACTCCTAGGTCGGAAAGTATCCCCTGGAGGAAATGGCAATCCACTTCAGTATTATTGCCTGGAGAATCCCATGGACAGAGGAGCCTGGCAGGCTATAGTCTATGGGCTCGTAAAGAGTCGGCCATGACACTTTCACTTTCATAGCCAATAAACAATGTTGTGATAGTTTCAGATAGACAACAAAGGGACTCAGCCATGCATATGCATACATCCATTCTCCCCCAGTCTCCCGTCCCATCCAGGCTGCCACATGACATTGAGAAGAGTTCCTTGTGCTATTCAGTAGGTCCTTGCTGGTGATCCATTTTAAATATAGTAGTGTGTACATGTCCATCCCAAATGCCCTAATTCTCCCTTTCCCCCCTCCTTCCCCTCTGGTAACCATGAGTTCAATCTCTAAGTCTGTGAGTCTCTTTCTGTTTTATAAATAGGGTCATTTGTATCATTTCTTTTTAGGTTGTGCATATAAGGGATGTCATACGGTATTTCTCTTTCTCTGCCTGACTTCAGTCAGTATGACAATCTCTAAATGCATCTATGTTGCTGCAAATGGCATGATTTCATTCTTTTCAATGGCTGGGTAATACTCCATTATATATACGTACCACATCTTTTTCATCCATTCCTCTCTTGGTGGACATTCAGTTTGTTTCCACATCTTGGCTACTGTAATCAGTGCTACAATGAACCAGAAGAGTCACTTCTCGTTGGCATCCCTTCTCCAGCCTGGAAATCCCGTGAGATGATGCTGAACCCTCATTCAATCCCGGAAGGGCTTCCTACATCACCTCCAATGTGTTCCCCCTCCTGTTAGCTCTGAAACTTCTTGTAGCCCCACCAGGCAGTCTCTCTCTCCTTCTTTTTCTTAACTTTTTGTTTCCACCTGTCAGACTGGAGCCTGAGAATGTCTCATTGCTCCTATAGGATGACCAGAGTTAGCAAATAAAAATATAGGATACCTTATTATATTTGAATTTCAGATAAACAACAAATACATTTTTTAGCATAAGTATGTCCCAAATACTGCCTGGGACATATTTACACTAAAAATTTTCTTTTTTTTTTTTCTTTTGAGTTCAAGTGTATCTGGGAATCCTCCTTTTATCTGGCAAGCCTACCTCCTGGGCTAGAGGAAAGTCATAGGGAAATTTGGGGCAATGTCTTGGGTCCTCCCTAGTGTAGGTAGACCATAACACCCTCTGGCCTGGAAGACTTCCCGATGTGGAAATAAACAAAACCAGAGCCAACGGGAACAAGTGAAGACTGTGTATTCAGAGCTGGCTAGAGCAGGAATCTCTGTATTTTGGCAGCGATTCAAAGGCAGACAGATAGGAAAGCTCCACAGTGGGAAAAGGGAGGCTTCAGGTATGGCCTGGTTGGAGGCTGCTGACTTGGAGAACATTTTAATAGAAGTGCAACATCCTATGTGATTGGAGAAGGAAGTGGCAACCCACTTTAGTATTCTTGCCTGGAAAATCCCATGGACAGAGGAGCCTGGTGGGCTACAGTCTGTGGGGTCGAGAAGAGTTGGACAAAACTGAAGCCATGAATTCACGCTATATATTTAAAAATCTAACCTGCACCCTTGCTTCCATTATCTTTAAGCGTTCATAGAGATGAACCCCCACCATATTAATTAGGAATCTGGCTGTGTTTTGACAAATCCAAATAACTTTGTTTTGTAATCTCACATAACCTTTCTACCCTAACATACATACAACATCCTGCTCAGCAGCCCTGAACCAGGTAGAGTCGTCACAACAAAGGGCAAGTTTTTTTTTTTAAAAAAAAAAAGGATGGACAACTTCAGCTCCCTGAGAATTTTTCCTCAAACCCTCTCCACCGAGCTTTCTCACACCGGGCTCTCCCCACCAAAATCTTATTCATTCAGACGTGACCCAGGACATACAGCACTTCCTCCTGCGCTGCTTAATCAGGAGAGGCAGTCACGAAGGACAAATATTAGCTCTGAACCCTGGGATGACTCATCCTTCCTTTATCCTGGCTGCTAAGCAAACGAACAGACCTTACTCTGGTGTGGAATTTTTTTTTTTTCAAGATTGCCTTAAAATAAGCCCCCCCCCCCCCACCTGCGAAGACACTCAACCTGCTGTGCAAAAGTGTGTGGGAGGCATTCATATCCTGCATAACTAGGAGGGAATTTTCTCTGAGCATTTTGTCCACAGGATACAGCCCTGCCTAGCCTGAGTTAATTAACTAGAGTACCTGATGGATAAATAGTCCCCAAATAGCCCTGCAGAAACTTCAGCGGGTCTTTAACGTTCCTAACTGCTGAGGCATCAGAAAATAAAAACCTCCTCAGTGAAGGAAAGGGTTAAGGGGGGAGATTATAAAGGAGAAACTGCATCTTGCAGGCATAGAGGAGCGTGTGCTCTTGCATGGCCAGTCACTCAGTCGTGTTTGCAACCCCATGGACTATAGCCCGCCAGGCTCCTCTGTCCATGGGATTTCCCAGGCAAGAGTACTGGAGTGGGCTGCCACTTCCTCCTCCAGGGGATCTTCCCAACCCAGGGATAGAACTCACGTCTTCTGTATCTTTTGCATTGGCAGGTGGATTCTTTACCAGTGCGCCAAGGGTTCTTTGCCACAGTTCCCAGGAAAACTGCATTCCAGACACCCATCCAGTTGCAGTCTTAAACCGCCCAGCAGATGTTTGCACCCAACACCCGACGTGATCCCAGTTGTACGTTTCCTTTTGCTAGTCCATTTCTCTCTCTGTGAGGTGGATGGCATTTGTTTTACCCCATCCCTCGTTTTTTCACAGCCCTGTTTGGAGGCTGTCAGTGAAATGTGTATTCAGAGGCTTCTCATGGACTTCTGTGTCTCCCACTGGGACAGAAGGGTTATGGATCCCAGAAGCTTTTATTTGCCAGAGTGGCACTTTCTAAGATTTACAGAAGAGGCAGTTAAAAACACCAACAAAGAAAATCATAAATGGAAGCATATACATGTATTTGAAAATAAGTATTCAGACACATGGGGCTCCCCAGGTGGCACCAGTGGTAAAGAACCTGCCTACCAAAGAGGGAGACGTAAGAGACGCAAGTTTGATACCTGGGTTGGGAAGATCCCCTGCAGGTGGCAATAGCAACCCACTCCAGTATTCTTGCCTGGAGAATCCCAAGGACAGAAGAGCCTGGTGGGCTACAGTCCACAGAGTGACTTAGGACACACATTCAGACCTATATGTGTAGTCCTGTCTGCCACTCTACTCACACACACACAATTATACAACTTTGTAAATACACATGTAGGCACTAATGAACAGAGAGATATATGCAGGGGAACTGTTTGCACATCCATGCTAGAAATCACACAGACCCACTTTCTTGGTAGACATTCTCACTTACTGTCTCCACCCACAAGGTGAGAGATCAAGCCAACCTTGACTTCCTCCATGCTCCCAGCCCTGCTCTTCATCAGAGGTCATGACCACCAGTGGGGCAAGATATGGATCCAAACGCCCACTTATTGAGGTACTGTTCCAGGTCTGGGGAACATGGAGAGTAAGCCAATCCCTCCTGTGGGGCTCATATCTAGCAGAGGTAGCTCAATGGTAAAGAACCCATCTGCCAAAGCAGGAGAGAGAACAGATGTGGGTTGGGAAGATCTCCTGGGGAAGGCAATGGCAACCCACTCCAGTATTCTTGCCTAGAGAATCCCATGGACAGAGGCACCTAGTGGGCTACAGTCCGTGGGGTTGCAAAAGAGCCAGACACAACTGAGCGCCCACACACACGCATACACGCTTTCTATTGTGTATCTGAAAAGAGGTGTACAAACAGTGACAAATCCACATGAGAAGTAAGTTCAAGAAGCTGAGTCCACTTCTGTCTTCCTGGACTCTGGAATAGAGGTGAGTCTTGTCTTTGCTCATTGAATGAGACCCGTGCCCAGAGGAATCTGCTCAGCCCAGGTGGGATGTGAACCCTCTGTTAGTTTCAGTCCGTGGTCCTGCCCCTTAAGTCGGTTTCTTCCGCTTGCTCCTCAGGTATGTCTGCTGGTAGAAGTTGAAGAAAAGGGTCAAGAAGCTGAGCGAGTACAGGAGGACGGCCACGTTGAACCCATCGGGGAAGGGGCACTCAGCAAAGACATTGTAGGAGGAGTGGGCTGCAATGGCCACAAACTGACCCTGGGGAGAGGAGGTACGGGAGGAAAGAGAAGACGGCAGAGGGTGAGAAGCAAAGGAACTGGCAGATGCTCCCCTTGACCTTCCTGTCATCCCCTGGGGCTCCCAGGGCTCAGAACAAGGAATAACTAGGAAGCACCACCCCAGGCATTCTGGCTCATGATGCTAAGAACCTTCCTGACCCCTCTCCTGGTCTGGTCCCCCTTTTTTCCCCATCGCACCCTATCATGTCAACACTGATGAAGGCTTCAATCTATCCTGAGCCCTTAAAGGGACAGCTCAGGCAGTCACCTGCAGTTGGCAATAGCGCTCCCCAAACCACAGGGCTCCCCAGTCCCCCAGGGATGGAAAACTGACCACAGACTCGCAGGACATTAGCCATCCAAGAGCACCTAGCCCAGCCCCCTCACTTCACTGGAAGATGAGACTGAGGCCGGAATCACTTGCTCCGGGCCTCACATCAGGTCAGGACATCAGGGTCGGTTCTAGGATCTGGCGAAATGGTTGCTGAGACCTCGCAAGTTGAGAGGCTAAGGAAGCGACGAGAAGGACTTTTTCGTGGTCAGATTACAAGTCACTGGTGCAGTCGAGAATAGAAGCCAGGGCTCCGCTGAGGCCCCTGGAGCCAGCAGGTCTTTCTCACCAGCTGCAGGACAGTAAGGTGCCGCTTCCACCACACGGAGGCCACAGGCGGGGCCCCAGACTGGCCAGTCCATAGTACAGGTACATGAAGATGTGGACCAGAGAGCTCAGCAGTCCGACGAAGAAGGCTGCAGGGCAGGGTGGAAAGGAGGGAAGTGAGTGGCTCCAGGCTTGCCTGTGCTCTGGGCTCTCTCTTCCAGTTTCAGTCTTCCAAAGAGCCATATCTCTGCACACCCCACAGAGACGAGCCCTAGTGTGGCCCTATCACCAGGGGGTCCCGCACGAGCTGCTCGAGGTCACGAAGGTGGGCTGTGGGTTACAAGGATGCCAGATGAGGATGCTTACAATGCCTCCTGCCCTCTCTGGGCTGATGGCTTTGAGCATCTCCAGGTGCCTCCTCCCCCACTCCAAGGAGGGGTGACTAGGAGGCTCCAGGGAGCAACAGAGAGAAAGTGGGAGCAGCAGCCAGGAGTCAGGGCCACAGAGGAGAGGAACCTGGGAGCCGGGCTGCCTGCCTCCCGAGCTGGCACTCAGTCCAGCAGAAGGAGGTGTGCCCCACAAGTCCTGCCCAAGCCACTCACTCACCTTGACCCCCCCGGCACGTATTTGACTCCAGCCCATCAGCTGAAGAACATGGTGCCATGGTGGTAGACATGCAGGAAGGTGATCTGCTCAGGCTTCTTCCGTAATATAAAGAAGACCTGTGGAGGAAGAGAAGACTCCACTCTGCAGTCATTGCTCCTCCAGACGCCACCTGGGGCCTCAGCTACCAGGGACAGGGTGACTCTGCCTGCTGTACCGACAGCGAGGCTAAAACTCAAGGCTGATGCCGCGGTCAAATGCCTGGACAGCCCCCTTCTGTGTGCCAGGTACTCTGTATGTATAAAAGCTCATAGAAACACTCATAATGGTGTGTGGTTTATACTCATCTCCATTTTAGAGACAGCAAAGCTGAGGCTCAGAATTTAAGTAAGTTGTTTGTTGCTGTTGTTCAATCACTAAGCAGTGTCCGGACTCTCTGGAACCCCATGGACTGTGGAGCCTGACAGGTTCCTCTGTCCACGGGATTCTCCAGGTAAGAATACTGGAGTGGGTTGCCATTGTCTTCTCCAGGGGATCGTCCCGACTCTGGAATCAAACCCACATCTCCTGCATTGGCAGGTGGATTCTTTACTGCTGAGCCACCGAGCAAGCCCAAGTTGTTCAAGGTTATACATCTAGTAGGAGGCCAAGCTGGGAATTTGAATATAACTTGGCTTCAGAGGCTGGGATCTTTCAGTATTAACCTGACCACTCCCCCACCCCCACCCCAGGGCATCAGGTAGAGAACTCAGGTGTCAAACACCCAGCCCAGGACCCGGGGAACCATCAGACAAATTCCCTAAGGTTCTCCACTCAGACTCCACTTAGAGACTTTATCACCACCCCCAAAACTGTGGCCTCACCCCACCCCCACAAGACTTCTGGATTCACAAGCAAGACTTCTTTTACTTATAACACTTAAGGCTTTTGCTCGCTGATGTCTCTTGCTACACAACAACAGTTTCTAAAGTTTGTTTCTCTTCCCATTTTCACTTAACCTGGAACCTGGTTGCTAATGGGGGCAAATGCTTCATCAGTGAGCATCCTTCTTTCTCCAGGTCATAGGATCGAGGTTTGACTCTGACATCAGCCTCAGGTGTAGCCAACAGGGACTTTGGAGGGAGGCATTTACTCACAGTGCCTTCAAAACCACCCCAGACCTGGCTGCCAGAGGTAACTCTCTTCAAGGGGCAGGCATTCACTGTGTCAAGTGATTCAACGGCCTTTGAGAGGCACCACCAGCACACGCGCGCCATCTGCTGGGAAGAAGGGGGAAGTGCAGTCAGAGTGCTGTCAGGCTGGTGGTACCACTGACCTGGCACCACTGACTTTGGCTCCAACCCTGACGGTCCCTCTGCCCACATGCCTGCGTGAAGATACCGGTTGGCACAGAGAAAAGGAGGATCCATGACTTTTAACCAGCACACAGATCACTCCGGGATCTTGTTTGTTGAAAAGCAGATTCTGAACTTATGTTCCTGGGGTGAGCCATGAATTTCTGCATTTCCAACAAGTTCCCAGTGATGTTCCTGCCATCTCTGGCCCATGGGCCATACTTTGAGCAGCAAGACTTGAGTCTACCATTCAATCTCCCTTGATTCAACACCCAAATCACTGGTGACTAGCCAAGCCTAGGTTCTTTTTTTTTTTTTAACTGCAAGGAAGCCTTTTGTTCTGTTTCCAGTTGAGAGAGCAGCTGAAAAAAAAAAAAAAATGAAATATTGACCTCTTGGCTACCACACATTCCATGTGTGCCAGGCCCAGGTGTGAACACTTTCACACATCAGCTTGTTCAATCTTCTTCCAATTGTTTCCTTTTATAAAATAGGTGTCATTATCCCCCATTTTACTGATAAAAAACTGAGGCCCGTAAAAGGCAGGGAAGCTACCCATGGTCACACAGTGAGGAACTGGCAGAGCTGAGGGTCACATTGAGGTCTTCTGAGCCTGTACTGAGCTGATCTTCACTGAGTCCCATCAGAAGACCCAGGTGACAGCACCTGGTTTTTATGAAGTTCATCCTATGAACCCGCTCTTTGTTATAGAGAAGAACAAAATCTGACTACATGTTGGACTTGTTTCATTAACCTCTTCTTCCCACTGCTTTTTGTTCACTAAAAGGATACTGTCCATACATAATGGCCTGCTTTGGGGGACCCTGGCCCTCTGCTTGAATGTTAAACCAAAGTGCCTTTGTTCATGGAGACATCTGGACCCTGCCCACCTGTGAATGGCTGCAAGAAAGAAGACATTAACATATTCCCTCCACTCCCACTCTCAGGCTGGCCATTCTGGGAGATATTTAAATGCAAGATTAATGACCTCTTTACTTTGTTTCCTCACCCCCTCCCATCTCCATTCTATAAAAGAACCTGGCATCCAGACCCCTTTATGACGGTTATTTTGAGACATTAGTCTGCCATCTTATTAATCAAAGGCGTATTCCTTGCCTCAACACATCTTCTCCCCACTTATCAGCCTGAGGCCTGCGAGCAGCCCGAGTGTAGACTCTGGTAACATCTCCAGGTCAACTTTCCCACTGCCTGTCTTACCCTCATCCCAAGCTTGCTCCGGCTGTAGTCTACTGGCTGGCAGAGGTAGCTGTAGTTAGCCAGGAGCAAAGTGGCCATGAACTAGAAGGAAGAGAATAGGGAAAGATTAAGTCATGATGCCTGCTCCGCCCCACACAGCTAGAGCCTGACTGGTTGAAGGCCCGAGAGGACATTCTGGACACCAGCATCCCTCCCTGGCCCTCACTGACACTTGGTGAACGACTGCCAATGAGGTCAACCCTGAGCTCTGGCTAACTCAGAGGCTGGCCTTGCATACATCTTGCTGGTCCCCAGTTTTGTTTTGTTTTTAATGTGGGTAAATATGGACCACAAACCCACAATGGGCACCTACTCTGCATGAGACCCTAAGTCAGGAGGGGACATGAAGCCATGTGTACATCAGCCCCGCCCCCAGGAAGCTAAATGCTCCCCTAAGGATACAGAAAATCATCCTCGCTTTCCAGGATGAGTAGGAAACAGGAAGTATGCCAGAAGCTGGTAGCAGGCTCACAATGAGGAGGCCGTAGGGCCAGCAGAGGGGAGGGTGAGAGAGCTGCATGCTAGAAGGAGTGTCTGGACTTCTCCTGATGCCCAGGGCTGCAAGGGGCAGTGGTGGAGGCTTCTCCCAGCAGAGGGGCAGTCACAGGAGCAGGGACCCAGCAGAATCCATTCATCATTTTTTTTATTTAACTTTTTGGCCACCTGCCACACAGCATGAAGGATCTTAGTTCCTGAATTCCCCGCCATGGAACTGTGGAGTCTTAACCACAGGATTGTCAGCAAAATCCCTCATGAAGGGTCTTGAAGGTTGTTTTAAGAAACTGAAATTTTATCATTTGTCTACTCATGTGACAATGAGTCCAGAATGGTACTAAACACTTCACACTGGACCCTGCTCTGAGCCCCAAGCCACCTCGATGAACCAAATAAAATTCCCTAAATGAGAGACTCTTCCTTCTGGTCCTGTCAACCAAGGGAGCTACAGAGGGCTTCTGAGCAGGAAGCCAACATGGGCATGGCAGGCTTTCCGAGGATCGTGGGGCAGCGGGGTACTCTGTCGCCACAATTAAATGACAAACTCTCGGACACGTCTCACAAGGTGTCAGCCTCTTCCACATGGTACCAGATGTTCTGAGGGGCCTGTCTTTACCAAGAGAAGTAAGAGACAGCCCTACCTTGGACGCTCTTGCTATTGGGAGACAGATAACACAACTGGAAGGATCACTGGGTTTGGGGTTCAGAAAATGGAACTGAGGTTAGCAGAGCCCAGGCAGAGACAGGAATGATGGCTTTTAGGTGCAAGTGGAGAATGAATTCCATTCAGGTTCGCTGCTCACTTCCACTTTTTTATTTAAGGAAAATGGGCTTGAGTGATGGAGGTTTGCATCTCCACGATGCTGGGAAAGACTGAAGGAAAAAGGAGAAGAGAGAGGCAGAGGATGAGATGGTTAGATAGCATGAGTGGACATGAATTAGAGCAAACTCTGGGAGGTAATGGAAGACAGAGGAGCCTAGCGTGGTGCAGTCCATGGGGTCACAAAGAGTTGGAAATGACTGAGCAACTGAACCACCACAAGGGAAGACATGGCAGCCAAAAATAACCCAGAATTCCAGCCCCTCTGTCCCCGTCAAGGCTTCTCAGTTGTCTGCATGGGAAGATCATGGTTTTATCCACCCCCTGGCACCCCCAAGAAAGAGACCCTAGGACTGCAGGGTCCCCCACCAGCCTTACCTCCTAGAACATGTACCCCGAGAGAGCCACCAGGCCCAGGTTGTAGGCAGTGAGGGGTCCTGCCAGACTCGGAGGCTCCCGACTGGACATAAGGCGAGGCCCTGCCACCACCAGGAGGAGGTAGACGGCCAGGAGGAGTGTGACCGGCAGCGGCGAGTGAACCAGGCACCAGGACCCCGTCCTCGGGTCTGGAAAAGCAAGGGGAGGCGGGACAGCAAGCTGGCCTCCAGGTCCACCCACCACCCGCTCCTCCCTCACCACGCTGGTCACCAGCTCTTCTTCCTCGGAATGTTTGGCATTAGTCTGGGTGGAATAAACATAAGAGAAACGCCATCCAGTGACACCACCTCCTACCTCCGTTTTCTAAGGCCCACAAGTATTTCTTCCAGAGTCTCTCCAGGGCCCCCGGCCATCGTGAGCACCTAGGAGTAGAAGTGGGGTTTGCGTCTCATGTAGACCACCTCCTCTGCCTACTCCCTCCCCTCCCCCACTGCTTGAGGGTCTAGGAGCCCAGGACACAGGCTGGGGGCCCCCACTGCTCCGCCCTCGGACACTGGATGACCACCACCCCCCACGGTCCCCTTTGGGGAGAGTCCATGGGCCGTAGCGCGGTTCGGATGCTTACACCTCTGCGGCCTTCTCGGCAGCGCCCCCTACCGGGCGCCCCCTGATATTACAGGGCCCAGGAAAGGGGCGTGGCTGTCGTGCAGCCCAAGGGGAGGGGCAGAGAGGCGGGACTCGCTGGCTTTCCTTAGTCTCATTCCACCTGCCGGTCTACTGAGCACCCCAGGCTTCTTTCCCCGCCTCACCAAGCCCAGACACCCCTAGTCCGTTCAGGGCTTCACTCACCCCGTGGCTCCTCCCGGGCTCCTCCTGTCGATGCCCGACGTGCTCTGGCCGCTCGCCGGGGGCGTTGAGGTCCGTGATGGGTCCCAGACCGGTCCTTGAGCTCCAGGGTGCAGGGCAGTGCCCCCCACCCACCCCGGCTACAAGCTCTCTACTCCGCCCCAGCCCAGCATCCCCCCCCACACACACTCGCATTCACACTCACTCACTTCCAGGTGCTGAGGCTCTTGTCCTCACCTGGCCGGGGACGGGACACTGTCTCAGATCCAGAGAGACAGAGCGGCAGACAGCCCAGGGGAGGGGTTGCTCAGAAGGTAAAGGGCGGCGGCTCCGGGGAGGACGGGGAGGAAGTCAGACGGGTCAGCAGCCCTCGCCCTCCCCTCGCAGGGAGACCGGTCCCCTCTTAGGGTCCCCACGCCCTGCACCCCACACTCTTCCTAAGAGGCAGGCAGACTGGGGACATCACACCCTCAGGCCTGCCCCCAGGGCAACCACGCGCCCCCCCCCACCCCCCCCCACCCCCCCTCCACCCCCCCCCGGCTCAGGTTCACTTCTTCCTCCTTCCCCACCCACACGGTGAAGGATTAAGTTTATTTTTTCTGATCCTGCTGGATCCTCCGGCTTCCTCCAGCCTTCTGCTGACCAATGGGCTGGAGGAATATGGGGGTTGGGGTGGGAATCCCACCCGCCTCTATTGAGAAGCCATTAAGATGGCTGTTTGTCCAAACATCCTCTCTTCAATGCATCCTTTCCCTCCTCTCTGTGTAAGATGCTAAAGAGCCGCATGTTTAGAAGCCACCGGGACACACTCCGTCCCCCTCCTCGGTGACTCCAGGGTGCAACAGCCAGGGCCTCAGTTTCACCTCCTGACAAGACCAAGGTCTTGGGAAAGCTTGTGGAAAATCATGTGCACATAAGCCTTGGATTATCCATGCTCAGGGCCAAGAGGATTAGGAATCTCAAAGAACTAGAAAAAGTAATGAATAATCCCCACCGTGAGGATTTGGTTTAGCCATAGGGCTGGCAGGATGCAGCTTGGTTACATGTCTCCCTGGAGACCTGGGTTGCCCCTGCCCTCTCTCCACCTGGGAAAGTTTCCTAGCTGGGCTCCAGGCCGAGGACAAGTCATATGTCTTCCCATGTAAGTCCATGCCATTTCCTACACAATTAAATCAAGCGGTTCTGCTGAGACTTCAAGGCTGCCTTGAGTCCAGCCAGACCCTCCCGCCCACAGCCCAATGCACTGCTTTGCCATCATTCTAATCTGGTCCCCGCACTCTCCCTGGCAACCCGCACCCACTTCCCATCCTCGGATGGGACGGGCCAGTTCCGTCTCCACGTTGGTGTTGGTCCTCCAAAGCCAGCCCCACCTGTGCCACCAGCATCCATCCCCCTTATCCGTCCTCCCTCTCCCATGACAGGCACAGTGGGTACCACAGAGGTTAGTTCCCAAGGTTGGCCGTATAGTGGAAATGTCACTTCCCCGTGGGAAAGAGCAATCAGGCTGATGTTGGGAAGATGTAACATGATGCCAAAGGCTGCCGTTGCCCTCTGTGGGCAGCTCTCACTGGTGTTCTCACAATGCCGGGTGCATAACTTTGCATTTGTCGCTGGAGACCTGTGGGAAGTCCCCTGTAGAGGACCCGAGTTGCTGCAATGCCCACCTAGCCCCTGGGAAGCAGGTGGGATCCAGAGACGTGGACTGTGACTTTAGGCAGGACCACCTCAGCCCAGTGCCCTTTCTCTGAGCTGGGCACAGCTCTGCCCTGAGGGAGGAGCCTGCTGGTGTCCTGTGATGCCCCCCCCCCCACCCACTTAAGTGCTCCCTTGAGTCTATATAGGTCAAAGAGCTTAGGGGAAAACTTCCATCTAGCTCACAACTGCAAAATAAGGTCTTTACTGATGTCACCGTGGATTCCTTCTGCCCGAAGTAAAACAATAAAAAACCTAACGACCTCAGCCCCTCCTCACCCAGTTACCCCCAGACTCACAGAGCCCTGGCTGCCCTCATAGCGCCTCTGGGGTTATGAGAGATGAGCAGGATGCCTGCCCGAGGACAGAGAGCTGGGACTTGTATGGGTGACATGCAGGGAATGGTACACTCACTGTCACATTGTAGGTACCCCGTGAGGTCACTGCCAAGGCCACCCACAGCTCTACACACCATATAGACACTAACCAGGACCATCCTCAGAACCCGGGAGCTGGGTCCTATCAAAAGCCACTTTTCTGGAGGAAACTGCTGAAGCACCGATTGGTTAAGTGACTTGGCCAGGGTCACACAGCTCCCAGGGATCAGGGTCAGGGTTCAAACCCAGGCAGTCTGGCTCCAGAGCCTTTGCACTTGATAAGTGCATGACACTATCGCTAAGTCATGTCCAACTCTTCAACTGCATAGACTGTAGCCCACCAGGCTCCTCTGTCCATGGAATTTCCATGGAATACTGGAGTGGGTTGCCATTTTCTTCTCTAGGGGATCTTCCTGACCTAGGGATTGAACCTGAGTCTCCCGCATTGCAGGCGGATTCTTTACTGCTGAGTTCCCTAGGAAGACCATGGTTTGCTTTATTGGGACGAAAAGAATCAAAGGGTGGCCTTGCCTGACAAAAAGAGGGAGTCTTAGCTTATTCAACACAGATTTTCAGAGAACGATGTGCCGGAGGGTGTCAAGAATACATAACTGAATGCAGGCATTTTCGAGCATTTGTTCTGTTCTGCTAGGGATGCAGTGGGCTGCCCGGAGTCAGGGGGACACAGCCTCTAACACCTGGCACTCTGGTGAGTTGGGGGAAGGTGGTAAGAACTTGGTTCTGCTATTTTTCCCAAAGACTCCCGACTATAGGTCAGGTGAGTCGAGGCACAATCCTCAACCAGGACTCTGAGTAACTGGTTCCAAACCTGAAGAATATTCCTGGAGACAAGATGAGGGGAAGATGCATGTGTGTGTGCACGCATGTGTGTGCATGTGTGTGCACTTGTGTGCCCACACATGTGTGTTGAAGATGATAATCTACGAGGAACTTTGCACATTCTGTCTTTGCCTGGTCGGCCCTCAGGCCCCAATCACACAGGTCTGTGTCTCCTTTCCTTTCTCCTGTTCTCCCTGCCTCTCCGGAAAAGCCACAGGGCAAGGGTGACAGGACCAGAGGGGAAAAGAAGGCGAGGCTGGACGACCACTATCGGTCAGGGGGACGGAGGGGCAGGAAGGAGTGAGACGGAGGGAGTCACAGGGGAGGATGCCCCAGAGTGGATGCTACTGCCTGTCCAGCTGTCGGTGAGCCCTGTCCGGGCCTAAGGGAGCCCAAAGAATCGCCCCCATCCTGTCTGTTCCTCCACGAGAACACAGCTCTGACTCCGCTGCACTCTGGCCTCATTTCCTGCTTCACCCCGGGTGCCCGGCTTAGACACTGCAGCACGGGGCGTGTGGATGGGGGGTGGTCTGCACCCTCAGTGGCTCCCCCTCTGCTGAGTTGAAAGAGCTCATTGTCAGGGTGGCTCCCACCCTTGGCTGGGCACCCTCCCCCCACCAGCGCACCACTGCAGCAGTTGGCCTTTGTATGGTACGATGCAGGCTGTGGCCAGTGAGGACAGTGACATCATTCATTTCACTCATAACAGGATCTGGCGGATCATCGTGTAAGGGGCAGTGACAGTCACGCACATCCCGGGAAGGCGTGTGGTCAGCTGCCTCCCAACGGGGCTTCCAGGAGAGGGAGGAGATGAGGTCGCAGCCACGCCTTGGCTGACCCCCATCCCTGGCACAAATGCTCTTTTCAGCCTGTGGCTTCATGGTGTCATGGCCAGAGCTGCAGACAGAGATCAGGTTGAATCCCTGTGACACGGAGCAGGAGCCTACGGTCCCTCCACCCCATGTCCTCCACCTGCCTTTCGTCTGTGGAAAAACTCGAGCCAAAGAATAAGTTAAATCAGACAAGTGAGAAAATGCAGAAGCAAAGGAAAACAGTTAAACATGACGAAATAATAATAGTTTAGTCACTAAGCCAACTCAAGGACCTTTAGTTTCTCTTCAGCAGCTATAGATAATATTCCGAGCCATACCTTCTTATGGCTACTGAGACCCCCACACACATACCACGTGGAAGAAGCAAATTACATGATGATCAGACTGTGGCTGTTTCCTAAGCTGCCACAATTCCAAGAACTGGCCTCAAAGCAATGGGAACAAATTGATTCTGGAACTGAAAATGAACTGTACTTAGAACAACCAGGATGACGCTGGTCAGACCACTGAAGGACCAATTTCAAGATGACTGTCAGAGCTGACTGTGTTGCTTCTGCTTACAGTCCCCTCTGTCTGCTTGTACACCCCTGAAACTCCCCTTTAAAAGTTTTGCCCACTGATTATCGGTGGGGAGGAGTCAGCCTTTTGACAGGAGTCTGCCCTCCTCACCAGTTGGAGGTCTCTGGAAATAAATTTTCCTCTCCACCAACCTTGCCTCTTTATTGGCTTTTGAGCAGCAAGCAGCTGGACCCCACTTTCAATAGCACTTGCAGATTCCCTGGATGATCCTGACTTTCCTCTCCTGGTTAGTAGATGAAACTCCAGATTCCATCAGGCTCACTCCATTTCTGCCTCACTGCTCACCTCACCTTTCATGCCATCTCCCTCATTCACTGGTTTTGTCATGCTAGCAACCTGATCCAGAAAGGGGAAAAGGTACTCAGTCTATCAGTTCCAAGCTCATCTCCAATTAGTACTAAAATTCTCTCTGGGTGCATCAATTGATGAATAATAAATAAAATGCAGTTTATCCACACAGTGGATAAAAATGGGTAAAGTGCTTCCTTAAAAAACTAAAAATATTATGAAAACACCATATGATCCAGCAATTCCACTTCTGGGTATATATCCAAAGAATACATAAAAGCAAATTTGAAAAGATACATGCCCCCCAATGTTCATAGAGCACTATTTACAATATTGTAGCCAAAAATATGGAAACAACTTAGGCGTCCATCAACAGATGAATGGATTAAGATGTGGTGTCTGTATATATAATGGAATACGACTCAGCTGTAAAAAGATGAAATCTTGCCATTTTCAACAACATGGATAGATTTAAAGGTTGTTATGCTTAGGGAAATAAGTCAGACCGAGGAAGACAAATACTATATGATATCACTTATGTTGGTGGTGGTTTAGTTGCTAAGTCATGTCCGATTCTTGCGACCCCATGGATTGTAGCCCGCCAGGCTTCTCTGTCCATGGGATTCTCCAAGCAAAAATACTGGAGTGAGTTGCCATTTCCTTCTCCAGGGGATCTTCCTGACCCAGGAATCAAATCCGAATCTCCTGCACTGCAGGGAAATTCTTTACTAACTGAGGTTATACATGGTATCTATAAATTAAAACAAGTTAGTGAATGTAACAGCCAGGAACATCTCCTCCACTTTAGCGAGAGCCAGCAAGCTTGTTGGAGTGTAGCTGGATTTTATTTATTTTTTATTTCTGTTTTTTGCCCCATCTTGCGGGATCTTACCTCCCCGATAACGCCTGCTCCCTGCAGTGGAAGTGCAGAGTCTTAACCGCTGGACCGCCCCGAAAGTCCCACAGGTATTTCTTGAGTGAATGAACGCATGAACGGGTGAGGCAAACCGCACGTCTGGGGCCTGGAGTCGGTCCAGGGAATGACCTCCACCTGTCGGCCTAGTTTGGGCTGCGGTGGGGCCTCCAGTGTCCACACAGTCACCCGCAGTCACTGAGGTCTGGCGGCAGACTGGCTGGCTGAGCCCTGGCTGCCCAGGCCTTTCCCGCTCTCGCCACTAGAGGGCAGGTGCGTCCCGTGGATGCGCCCCAGCAAGTCTGCCCTGTTCCAAAGGCACCTTGGGCTCCCCCGCGGAACCAAACATTTAAGAAAGGCTTCTGCCAAGATCTCTCTCACCCAGAGATCATTTCAGAAGTACCAGGTGGAGGAGGGCATAAAGCAAAGCCATGTTCCCTGTCTCTGGGCGAGAGGGGTGAAACAGGAGCCATCCCTGGTCCCCAAATGCCTTTGCAGAGGGGGCCCCCGAAATAAGAACTCTTGAGACCCTCTGCGTTGTGATCTAGGCCATGTCACCTTCTGGGGAGACAATCTTAGGGGCACCCTCCTGCGTTCTGCTCCCCACAGTTAAAAAGGCAATTATTCCAAGCCGGAAAACTGCTGACACACTGCCTCAACCACATAAACTCTTAATTCCAGGAGGTCCGGGCTGAAAGTGACCTCACCCAAGTCTCTTGGGGCCAGGACATGCCCATGGAGGGAGGGGCCGTCTCCAAGGGTGCACAGCCACGTAGAGGGGAGACCAGGGCCCGGTCCTACTGAATAGGACACGTGTACTGACTGATCAAACCATCACCTTTTCCCCTGTGTCTCTCTCTACCACCGCATACAGCTCCTAATCACTGAAATAGTCTTTCCTCAACCTTTCAAAACACGTAGGAAGACAAATAAAAGGATCAGGAGGGGACTCCCATCACACTGCTCATGAGAAAATGTGCCGTTTCATATCAGATCCTGAATCTCAATGGGGAAACCGCGTTTTTCCCTCCATGCCCCACTGCCATGATAGAGCCCACCAGCCCGAGAGAGCACGGACCTGCCTGGCCACCAGCCAGCTTTCTCCCGGTGACACACGTGTGCACAGGTGACACACGTGACACACGCACCTGGGGAAACTCTGCTCTGCTTCCTGGAGAGACAGAAGCAAAGGGCTTGCAGTGATTAAACAAACACGTGAGCTGGGCTTCCAAGTCCTTCAGGAAAACTCGGTTACACCAAAGCCTTTAGGAAGAGGAAACCCAGGCTGTGAGAGGCTTGTCTAAAAGTCACAAAGTTAGTTCCTGCCTAGTTCCCGCTCTAGGGTGAGAACTCAGCTTTGCAGACACTGCCCAGTGCCACAATTATTGTGGTTTGAGGATGCTTAGGACTTCCCAGGTGGCGCTAGTAGTGAAGAATCTGCCTGCCCATGCAGGAGACAAAGCTATGACAAACCTAGACAGCGTATTAAAAAGCAGAGACATCACTTTGCTGACAAAGGTCCATAGAGTCAAAGCCATGGTTTTTCCAGTAGCCATGTACGGATGTGAGAGCTGGACCATAGAGAAGGTTGAGCGCCAAAGAATTGATGCCTTCAAATTGTGGTGCTGGGGAAGACTCTTGAGAGCCCCTTGGACTGCTAGGAGATCAAACCAGTCAACCCTAAAGGAAATTCACCCTGAATATTCATTGGAAGGACTGATGCTGAAGCTGAAGCTCCAATACTTTGGCCACCTGATGCAAAGAGCTGACTCATTGGAAAAGACCCTGATGCTGGGAAAGACTGAAGGCAGAAAGAGAAGGGGACAACAGGATGAGATGGTTGACAGGCCTCACTGACTCAATGGACATGAGTTTGAGCAAGCTCTGGGAGACAGTGAGGGACAGAGAAGCCTGGTGTGTTGTAGTCCATGAAGTTGCAAAGAGTCAGACACAACTGAGTGACTGAACAACAAGGATGCTTAGTCCAGTGTTTTTCAAACTGCAGAGAAAGACCTACAGAGAACCATGAAATCAACTTGGTGGGCTGTATAATTTTTTTAAATAAAATTAGAACAGAACAGAAAGAAACTGACTAGGAGATACTAGAATAAATTAGAAGGCAGTCAAGTTTTGTTTCCCCAAATATTTGTTTTATATGTGTGTATATGTCTAATGATACACACGTGAGTGTCTATTTGCTGCATTGCAACATAAAATATTTTTCTTACTATGAATTGGCATCAAAAAACATTTTAAAGTTACTGGTTTAGCCACAAAGTATAAAATACTGGTTTTAATCATGGTTCTAACACCTCCAGCATTGTGCTTCCAGACAGGTGTTTTCAACTTTCTAAACTTTGGTTTTCTCATCTATAAACTGAGAATCATGGTAGATCCTTCTCACGGGGTTGAGAAAATTGATTGTGATGATTGCCAAGTAAGTGTCAAATACTAAACGTGCTTGTGATATTTCACGCATATGCTACAAGGACCCATATTCCAAGGTGGCAAAGACCCATGGCAGTCAGGCCAGGCAGAAAACAGTGTAGGGCACTAAGAGGCGCCTGTCCCCCCATCACGGGCCAGAATCAGACCCTCCATCAGCTCGTCAGTCATCCGTGGCTCAGCATCATCTGGCTTCTGGGAGATGCAGACTCCTGGGTGCTGACAAGACTCCTCTTATCTCTGCAAGAGGATGGGGTCTCCTGAACCAGGACCTGACCGAAAGAGGAGAGAGCAAGTCCTGAAGGCAAATCGTGCTCCTTCATAACTCCGTGAGGGCCAGGCGTTCCCCCCTTCTTAATTCAGTCCTTCCACCCAGAGCAGTTCTGAGAGCAGGAAATGCAGCGGCTTCAGAGACGCGCAGGAGAAGCCAAGGACGAAGAGATGGGCAGTCCCCGCTGCCCGCCAGGCTCTCTGTGTTAGCCGTTCACCATAAGCTTCAGAGAGCTACGAGGCCCCCCGAGGAAGGATGGATCGGGTGGGAGGGGACGCAGGCCTCTCGGCGTCTTTTGCTCGCAGGGAGAGAGTGGCATTTTATATTTAGCAGATGACTCACCTTCAAGTGCATTAGTCACAGCCTCCCAGCTCTGTTCTGGAGGCTGGATGCTGGGTTCTCAGAGGGGTGAGATCAGACAGGAGAGCAGAGACAGCGAGCTGGGGGAGCCGAAAGAACAGACCAGCCGGGGAGACCAACGCAGGAGGAGGAGATGCGAGGCAGCCTGGGAGCTGGCAGCTGACTGCTGTCCCGCAGAGAGGTCCCAGGGCACAGGACCCTCTGGTTCTGGGTGGCCCTGAGCACCCAGCGCTGCCAGGGAGGGAGAGAAGAAGGGGGGAAAGCCCAGAGCATCCCATGGATGCGTGGAGGGCACAGCCGCGGCCTGGCTCCCATGTCCAGGAGCCCTGCAAGGGGCCCTCTTTCGGCTCACCTGCCTGGATGCATCCTTGGGCCGACTATGATAGTGACCAGCAGAGGAGCACGAGTTGCAGAGAAAGCCAGCAGACCATGCCCAGGCCGGAAGCCTGAGCAGGAGAGAAAGAGACCATCTGAGAAAGACGCCTTGGGTCCTGCTGCCTCCCACCTGCGGGAGGCTCTCCCCCTCGGGCCTGGTGAGGGTTCTTCCTGGACTCTGGGCTCCCTGAGCATCAGGATGGCATCCTCTCATCTTCCTCCTTCAGAGCTTCGTTGAAAGCTTTGTACCTAGACAAATGGGCTTACCAGGTGGCGCTAGTGGAAAATAATTTGCCTGCCAATGCGGGAGACATAAAAGCTGTGGGTTTGATCCCTAGGTCAGGAAGATCTCCTGGAGGAGGAAGTGGCAACCGTCCCAGTATTCTTGGCTAGAAAATCCCATGGGCAGACAGCCTGGTGGGCTACAGTTCATGTGGTTTGCAAAGAGTCAGACATGACTGAAGCGACTTAAGTAAAACGCTCACAGCTAGAGAAATATGCCTTGTTGCCTTGAAAAGGAGCCTTCCGGAAGTGCCCCAGCAGAGATGCACAGGGCAGCTCTGTCCTGGGCCTGCCTTCTCCCCTGCCAGTCTCGCCCTCCCTCAGACAGCTGCAGAGGTGCCCAGGGGAGCCCTGGGCCAGCCACCACAGGAGGAGGCTCTATGCCAGTGGGCACAGGAGAGCCGGTCCCACCTTCAGCTAGGACACGCTGTCTCCCCTCTCTCAATAGTTCACCCTCTCACCAGCAGACTGCGGGCTCCTGAGAACAGGGCCCTGGACTTTCTTTGTATATGTCCCCACTCGCTGGTGACTCAGATGGTAAAGAATCCACCAGCAAGGCAGGAGGTCTGGGTTCGATCTCTGGGTCGGGAAGATCCCCTGGAGGAGGACATGGCAACCCACTCCAGTATTCTTGTCTGGAGAATCCCCGTGGACAGAGGAGCCTGGCCGGCTGCAGCCCATGGGGTCGGACACGACTGAGCGGCTAAGCACAGCCCAGCCGCTCCCTGGCTGGTGCTAAGGACACGTGACGACATGCCCGGCCAGGTGTAACAAGACAAGCAGATAATCAGGAAGCAGAAGTGAGCTGATGAAGAGGGTACCCAGGCAGGCCTTAGAGAACTGGGCTACATATTCCTGACCTCAGGTCTCAGCGATCCTATCTAGAAAACATCGAAGTGGTATCTGCATTGCAAAAACACAGTTGGGAGGGCTCAATGACACAGACCCTTGGACAGCAAGGAGATCAAACCAGTCAATCCTAAAGGAAATCAACCCTGAATATTCATTGGAAGGACTGATGCTGAAGCTGAAGCTCCATTCTTTGGCCACCTGATGCAAAGAGCCGACTCATTGGAAAAGAGCCTGGTGCTGGGAAAGATTGAAGGCAAAAGGAGAAGGGGGCAACAGAGGATGAGATGCTTAGGTAGCATCACTGACTTAAAGGACGTGAGTTTAGGCAAACTCCAGGAGATGGTGAAGGACAGGGAAGCCTGGGGTGCTGCCGTCCTTGGGGTCGCAAAGAGTCAGACACAACTGAGCAACTGAACAATAACAACGAGACAGTCCCGGCTCATAAAACACATTCACACAGGAGCAGCCTGCGAACTGACTTACCTTCACGCTACTGCAAGCTCTGCGTGTGAGAAGAGATGAAGTGACTAAAAGTAACAGCCTTGCCCAGGTCACCCTAGAATGCTCAGAGCAGATCTATTTTACAGAAGCAACTGAGGCTCAGAGAGGTTAATTTACCTACCCAAAGCCACACAGCAAGCAAGTCCCTAAGTCATGATTTGAATGGTGCTCACCTATCCCCCAAACTGGAACACATTCCTTTAAACAACAGTGCTTCAAACACTTGGAGGAATTTTAAGAGAGGAAATTATTGTTTTTTCCAATAGAATTCTTTTTAACTTTTTATCTTATAGTGGAGTATAGGCAATTAATAATGTTGTGATAGTTTCAGATGCACAGCAGAGCTATCCAGCCGCACATATGCTTGTCTCCATTATCCCCCAAATGCCCCTCCCATCCAGGCTGACACATAACATTGAGCAGAGTCCCCTACAGTAGGTCCTTGTTGGTGATCCATTTTAAATAGAGCAGTGTGCACATGTCCCTCCCAAACTCCCTCAGACAGGGTTTGGAAGGTTATGATCGGCCAAGAGCTGAAAAGGAAGGGAGCTGAAGCCGCAGGGCACCCCCGTGAGATCGGTTGGCTAAACCCCAGAGAGGAGGCTGAACAGAGCACTCCTGTCGCAGGAAACTCAGAGGCCACGTCAGGGATCGGTGTATCTGCCAGGCCATCAGGGAGAGGCTCAGAAAGTAATGAAGACCGGTCGTGCCCGGGAAGGCCCTCTGGGGTCCGAGACTCAGGAATGGGGAGAGTGGGCAGGAGGGAACGTTCTGCAGGATGCTGAGATGTCAGGCATCCAGCTCCACCGGTGCACGTCTGTGTGACCCTGGACCCTTGGATCAGAATTCCAGGGAGAGATCACTCCTATCCATAGCCCTCCTGATCCCCTTAAAAATCTCTTCCTGGGGTTTAAAAACCATCATTGTCTGGAATACAGATTTTCTCCGGTTGTAATTTCTCCTGTCGAAACTGATGCATGAACTCCACGAGGACTAAAGAAATCCCCAACTAACTTGTTTCCTGGTCCAGTGGTTCTCTGACCTGCCAGCTGGCCATCGCCTGACACCAGCACTTCCTGCCTGGTGTGGCCAGCGGCCTTTCATGGTTCCCACTATGTCTCCCACCCCACTCTCAGTGCCCCTGGGGGAGCTGGGAGCCAGTGCTTCTCAGGGATTTCCAATGTTCCCGGCAGAGCCCTTCCGTGGCATACAGCAGGCCTTTAATTATGGAGTATTACGGGGAGAGCCATTCAGCATTTCTAGAAACACAGGAGACATCACCATGCAGTCCTATCACTTACTGATTATTACTAATTTGTAGTTAGTTAATAGTTGAAAGGGCTTCCCAGGTGGCACAGTGGTAAAAGAACCCGCTTGCCAATGCAGGAGATGCAGGAGAAGTGGGTTCGATCCCTGGGTTGGGAAGATCCCCTGGAGGAGGAAATGGCAACCCACTCCAGTATTCTTGCCTGGAAAATCCCATCAACAGAGGAGCCTGGGGGTCTACAGTCACAAAGAGTAGGATATGATTGAGCAACTGAGGACACACACAAGAATCAAAAATCCAGCCTTGGAAAACAGAACAAGCTTGGGAGACTGGGAATAGGCTGGGGGTGGTGGGTGGAGTCTTAGCTCTCCATCCTCTAATTTTTGTCCCTTATACAGCTTATTAGCTGAAGTTGTCAAGGATGCTCTCACCATGTTCTGAGCAGGAAGAAGGGGAGAAAGGAATGGAAGTGTTCTCAGCTCTTTTCCACCAAGTGGACTCTTTGAGGTTTTGGTTGTACATTGTGGTTTGGCAAAGACACAACTGATTAAAGACAGTTCTGTTCTTAGAAATGTGGTAGGCTGTCACTCTTGGGGGCCACTGTTCCTCTCTCCACAATTATCTGGAGCTTCCCCTGGTGGGTTTTGAACCACCTCGGCTAAGAGGGTGGCTTCCCAAGGACACATTCTGTCAACACCTTCCTCCTGAAATTTGCATCTAGGTGTCTTTGAGGCTGGGGCTTCCCAGGTGGTGTTAGTGGTAAAGAACCCACATGTCAATGCAGGAGACATAAGAGATACAGGTTTGATTCAATGGTCAGGAAGATCCCCTGGAGGACGAAATGGCAACCCACTCCAGTATTCTTGCCTGGAAAATCCCATGGACAGAGGAGCCTGGTGGGCTACAGTCCATGGGTGTGCAAAAAATTGGACATGACTGAAGCAACTTAGCATCAACAACAGTCTTTGAAGGCATGAAGTATAGTTCATATGTTTATGATTTGCTGAAAAACCATCAAAATATTCTTTGCCTTAGAAGCTACTAGGAGACCCAAGATGCCTGAGGAGTATTTTTTCTTTTTTAATTTGGCTTGCTTCTTCAAGTTTCTCTCTGCACAAGAGCAAGGCATTTTGCCAGACGAAAGCAACCCCCATCAGTGTGTGAAGAATGGGACTGGCGAGGCTTGGAGCTCAGGCAGCAGCTATAAGGTCTGATGCAGGGAGTCTGATTCTACCCACCCCCTTGCTCCCCTGTGTGGTGGAGGCTAAGGTCCCTAATTCTTCTGTTCTTGCATTTTTCCCAGCTCTAGGTGACCCAGGTGATGGGCAGACAGACTCTCATCATCCATGCAGGCTCCATAGACCTGCATGGACCGCTTAACATCAGCAGCTCTTCAGAGAGAAACCAGACACATCAGATGTGAATCTTTTCCACTATGCTCCAGTTTTATACATGATGAGATCATCAGTTTTGGCATGAGAATTCAGTGTTTCAGAAGACTGTCCTGAGGACAGCCCACACTGGACTTAATTTCAACTTCCTGTACCTTTTATCATTCTATCTTCCTCCTTCGCTCTCTGGAATAAAAAAGCCAAAACAACAATTGCTACCCCATGCAGGACCCTAAATCCAGGCAGTTTACCAGCTTGTGATTTCTGACTCTCTTAATAGCCCTACAAGGTGATTATGATCACCTCTATTTCTGCAAACCAGTAAATAAAACTGACGCTAATAAAAGCTGTCAGGTTTTCTAAAATCTCACAGCCATTCAAAGTTGAAATCTGACCCCAGATTCATCTTTTCCCCAAATCCTGTCCCTTTATGCTTTAATGAGTCTGTCTTCAAAGATAATGAGCCTTAGTCATTCAAAGGTAGGCTCAATTATTTGTTATTCTCACTGAGAAGAAAATAGGGGTTAATGCATTATAGAAATATTTTCAGTAGCACAAGCAACTGGAAAAAGAATGTTCAGGTCAACTTTCAGAAAACCAGGAAAGTTCATTAGCCAGGATTCAAATTCAGCTCCTTAAGTCATGCCAACTCTGTCGGCTGTCACAAGATTTCAGAAGGTTAGAGGATGTTCGTACCTGCTATAAGCTGTTTTCTGTCTTTCTGAAGCTTTGGGCCCTCAAAGGTATACATGTGTACATACGTGTGAGTGTGTGGTCA